GCTAATTCTATTTTCTTTTACAGCAACTTCCAAATGGTCTTTTATCTTTGTAAAAAGTTTGTATAAGGTTTGACACCTTGAATTGTAGAATTAAGGTATACCTCAAAAATCAATCAGGAAAAGGCTACTTTGACTTTTGAAAACCATCTAAATGATACTCCCTACAACGAGATATATGGATATATAGGAAAAACAATATTTCACAATCAAAAAATAGCACATCTTGCAATACATTATCTAGACCGCCCATTTTCAAGATTTTCATGCGTTTATAGATTTGATTGATTTGAACCATTTTTTAAGTCTAAAATTTTAATTAGAGATAAAAATAGATTATCGGACCATCCAAAAAAATTTCGACACCAAAATTACATTTTGTGATAAAGTTTGAAGGTGCGTCTTGGTTTCATTCTTTTAAGGGTGTAACCTTATGCAAACCTCACCCTTTACTTGTAGCATCTTCCAAACATTCTCTCCAACAGGACCATTAGTATTAAACTATTCAAGATCTCTAGACAAAACAAAAGACTATTTTTAAAAAATAATGTAAAACAAAGAGCTTTCCCAACTTGACAAACCACATGCATAAACACCATGGTTTTCCCCACCTTTCTTATTATTTTTTAGGAAACAATTCCCTCAAAAACATAGCAAAAAATGGAAAACGAGCTTTTCCAAAAACAATAGAAAAAGGAAAAACCAGAGGCTTTATGCTCTACCAAGAATTGCAAACCATATAGGAATGAATAAAAAATAGTTCATAGGAGGAGAAGTGACCTTAGGCTTGCTTCCTGATAAAGAAGCACCCGAAGGAAAAGCCCTTGTAAATGAATGGCGTTGTAGATTAATGGTGCACATTGTCATAGCACAGGCTGCCATTGCAGCACGATGATAAAAATTTAAAGTAATATATACCCAAGTATTGGCACACAGAGGTGTAGAGAGAGAGAGATTTATCTTACGTGATGGACAATTCAAATGAAAGAAGCCAGAAGCCAAAAGCCAAATGAGATATATATATATAGAGAGAGAGAGAGAGTTGGGATTCTTGGGAAGAGGGAAAACGATACCTTTGAATTGGAGCGTAGCAGGGGTATCTATCGATTCAGAAACAACAAAGCTCGAGTCAACTGTGGAGGTTTTTTTTTGGGTAACCACGGTTCTCATGTGCTTCAATGAAGATTCATACATAACCATGAAGAATAAATAAGTGAAGAGCCTCGATTTTAAACCCAGTTTTGACTCTTTCCAAGAGCCTAACACAAAGCATTTGTCCTTCCTTTTATTTAACCATGGTTTCGGCCATATTGTTGTTAGCATTAGTTTTATTAAGATTGGATTGGATTGATCTTCAAAAGTGAGTGAGAAAATTGGTTTAGTCAAAACTAGCCCACCTGCCTGCTACAGTCAAATTGGTCGGTTTGACTGAATTTTAAACTATAAAAAAAATATAAATAATTTTTTAAAAAAAAAATTTATATAAAGTTGCAATCTTAAATTGTGGAATTAAAAATGCACCTAAAAAATCCATTAGAAAAGGTTGTTTTAATGCTGAAAAATGCTCTAATTGATTATCTCAACATCGATATGTATGAATATGAAAAAAAAAAAAAGATTTTAAGTCTCAAAAATAATATATCTTGCAACACATTATCTAGACCGTCCATTATCAAGATTTTCATATGTTTATAGATCTACTTGATTTCAAACTTTTTGGAGTAAAACATTTTATAAATAGAGATAAAAATAAATTTTCAAATAATCCTAAAAAAAAATTACACAAAAGTTACATGTCATAACAAAATTTGAAGGTGTGCCTTAATTGGATTGTTTAAAGTGGCGACCTTATAGAAACCACACCCTATTTTAAAATATGTAATATATTTAGAAAAGGCTTCCCTAACTTGTTTGGCGGGGTGAATTAATAAAAACTAGCTAAAGAGATTGGCAAACAATGCTCCAAATCCTATTTTTACGTCAAACGACACTCGCTGAGGCATTCATCAACGGTTCAACCGCTGAAACCACCCGTTCGATATAGTCATGATAACTATGATTTGCGTACAAGGAAACTCTTCATGTCATAAACTCAAACCGGTCATCTTATAGTCTCGAGTGGTTGAAATCAGTCATCCATTAGTCTTGAGTTCAAATGGAGAGTCCAATTGGCTTGGCCAAATTCCAAAAAATAACAATTAATTAAAAGCTTAAAATACTTAAACAAGATTTTAGGAAATTCAAATTTTCCTAAAACCATTAATTATGATATAATAAAATGTTTTTAATGTTGTTTATCACTCCTAAGTCCAAGCCCAATTCAGCAAAGGGACAAATAGGTCGCTATTGGCTCCGATTTTACTCGAGCGATTCCGAGTTCGGTATTGTTTTAAACGCTGGGTCATACAAACAACATTTATTTATTTTTTATATTATGATTCTTGTCACGTATTGTTTTACATATGAGTAACATCAACCGCTCTGTGCTTCTTTTGGGGATGTAACATCTTCAACCTAATGATCAACGTCAGAAAAAAAGAAAAGGAAAACTCATTGTGGCTCAAAAAATAGCGACCTAAGATGTGCCCAAGACTACCTAATTCTTGGACAATTAAATATAATTTTTTAGGAACTAAAAATCCTAATTGTTCTTTTTTAAAAATACTCATCTTAAATGATTTTAAATTAGATTCCAAAATCTCGTGTGAAAAAAAAAAAAATTTCTTTTTTATGTATTCGATTGGAATATACTTTCACCAATTTGATTTGATGGCCACTCCGATCTTGATTACACTGGTTTAGACAACTATCCTGTGTCGTGTAACCCCCTTTGAGTGAGGTGTGCTTCTACTTTTCCTCTATGAATAATAGCTCTCTCAATATAGGTGAGATGCATTGCATGTTGATCACGTTGAGGAGTTCAGGTAGCTTGGTGGTCCTTAATTTGCTCTTCTTTTGTTTTGGAGATCCTAATAGCTTTACCCTGAAACCTAATCCAGTTGCTAAAATATGGTGTGTCTCCCCTCTTGTAAATGTGAACTTCCCATACTCTGCAAGCTAGCTCAAACATTTTCCTTGAAAACCAAAATAAAGTTTAACATCTAAATTATCCTAAATCCCTATCACTTTTCGTTCAAATTGTTTCCCATCAATAGTTAACTAATTCCCCAATTAAGCTTCATAATGGAGTGAGGTTGTTGAACCAAATTAATTACAAGGAAACTATAAACAAATTATCTTACAAAATCACCAAAGAGTTCATAATATTCCATTTACCATTGTAGGGCTTACTTTTATGACTCATTCATAACTTCAAAAGATTTGTTCACAAGTTTCCAAGTTACCCCTGCTCAAGGTTGGAAACCTTGTATAGCAATCTTAAACAATAGCTTGAGCTAAATTACGAAAATACCCTAGTTCAGGTTTAGGAACACAAAAATGCCAAATGAAAAAAAAACCCAAATTTCATATTGCCGATCCCAAGCAAGGTCTTTCCGGACCCCAAAGAACCTAGGTATTCTGTAATGTTTATGGAGAGGCCAAATTACCAAAATACTCTTAGTTTTTAGAAATTTGAAAATTTAAATAATTGTTTTGAAGAAATAACTTTGTGAACATAACTTAAAACGTAGGCCCGATAATAGAACATGGGATCTTTTGAGCCCTTTAATGAGCTTCCCGAAATTCTGTTACCTCTACCTTCACTCTTATAGCCTTGCGAAGGGTGTAAGCCAATGACGACAATTTCTAGTAGTATTGAACACGTAAATCCTAACCAACCCGCCAAAAATCAAAAGGAAAAAGAAAAAAAATAGACTGGATCTACCATTTTAATAGAAACTTGTGTTGTAGGAACAGGGAAAAAGTGGTGCAACAGGCAAGATACTTGCAGCTCCCGTTTCAATGATGGATGAAACTTTCGTAGGCCTAGGCTTTATGAAAACAAAATAAAACATCCCTTCAATTCCTCTTTTAGTAGGTTTTATGAAAACAAAATAAAGCATCACTTCAAATCCTCGCCTTAAAAGCACTTTTTGGCATTGAAAATCTTCATGACGGCTCTAAAATTAATTTTCAACACCGAACCATGAAATTTGTAACTCAAAAAGTGGTACTCATGTTGTATGCGTGTGAACACTTATTTTTAAGAGGAAATGGATATGTAAATGATTTGTTGCAATTTACACTCTTTTTAGAATGTGAAATCCTTTTTTTTTTTTGCACAGCCATAATTATCATGTCGAAATGATCGATTTAAAAGTTTTCCAACACTTAAAATTGCATCTTTTGATGAGTGACAAGGTGAAGCTTTACTTATTTTGGTAGGGTTACAGCCCTATCAAACCATTTTCCTTCAATGACATGTAATACAAGGGCACCTATTAAAATTTAGTAAACGGTTTTGTAGGAAGAACCAAAATAGCATGGCCTTCCTGAGTTTACCAGAAACCACAACACAGAGAAATCAGAGACTGCATAAGATTATATGATGCTATGATCAGCTTTGCTCTTTGATCTTTAATTTTTGTTTGTTTAATATCCCAAGTCTCTCAATTGTGTATCGTCGAAAGAGAATGGTAACCTATCTGAACCTCTTTTTCCTTGTTTAATGAGTAAGTTATCCTTTGCAAATTTTTGAAACAAGAAATGTGACTCAAGACCGAAGCAAATCGTAAAGGGAGGTTATACTGGTTCGGACAGCTCACATTTGAGAAGGCAGATAATACTGGATCAGCACACAAAACAAACATAATGCGTTAACGCTGTGAATTTTTTTTTATATAATATTATATTTTCAAGGCATTACCACTAAGCTTTTTATAGTATGGACATCATCATCGTCAAAACCTTTTCCCAACTAATTGGAATCAGCTACACAAATCCTAGTCCACCATTGCACTCTATTAAGAGCCATACCCCAATGAGCCTATAAGTCCCTATAGCTTTTTACATGATGGTAATGAATATAATTATAAATATGGTTTTTGAAGATGAGACTTCTCTAATGTCATTGATACATTCAAATATCAACAGATCAAATAAGCCGTCCCAATCTTAAAAAAACACACTTAGTTTGTGATTTAGAAACAAGAAATCCAATGCAAGTCGACATTAAAAAAAAGCAGCCCAAAAAAGTCCCAATTGCATAACCCCCACATTTCCTTGTAGTTGTCTTACTATTTTACACGTAAAGAGAGTCTGATATATCTCAGAATTTCTAATTATAACAAGAAAGACCAAAACCCGATAATTAACCCCGACAAGAATGCTCATCTTGATGTTCCGAGCAGACAAGCTCATCTCTTTTCAACTCCTGAATTTCGCACAAAACACAAATTCTGCTTCCATCCTCCATATCTTTACCCACCTCCAGATTTAAGTGTATTACTCAACCTGCATTTTCCAAAACCAAAATAATTACACACAAATACATCCATACACAAAGCATATGCAAACGTACGTGACTGATCTTTCATATCACACCATAGAACAAACACTATACTCTATGCAAATCACTTGTTACACATGCATAAATTAATGAGCTTCTAAATATTTTAATAAATCCAATACCACCATCTCTAGACTGTTTTTAAGTAGGGCTGGCCAGGCCAGACTTGACCCAAGCCCAGCCAAGCCCTGGCCCTAGCCTGTCCCCATAATGGCCAACCCAAGCCCGGCCAAGCCTAGACTGGGCCAAAGAAGCCCTCACCCCAGGGCTAGGCCGAGCAGAGCCGGACCAGCCCTGTTGTGGCCCAGGCCTAGGCCCAACCATGACCCAGCCCACAAGCCACATTTTGTGGCCTATGCCCTAGATTTTAGGGCCGGGTCGACCGGGCAGGGCTGGCCTGGGCGTACTGGCCCATTGCCAGCTCTTTTTTAAGTAATCCAAAAAATATAACATCTCACAGACCATCATCTTACTAGAGCTTGTAGAGCTTACCAATCCAAACCTTCAAAGAGTCCTTCACCTTTGATTGCTGAAGTCTTGAAAATAGCCCATTGACGGCTCTTGATTTTATGCAATTCCAAGTCCTCGGTTATCGCAGCATCATCCAAAGCACCAGGGAGATCCTGCATACAAAAGAAGGTCAAATGTATTGGTACTGCAAAATTCTCAAACAAAAACCGCTCTACAGATGACCTGTAAAAAAAAAAACAATGAAAAGATGACTGGTATATATGATCATAAATGCCTACGAGCATGCATCTCAAGCACCATGTATTATATATACAATGTTCTTGAAACCAACTTAAGCACTGTAAGTGCCAGTGTTTGAAACCCCGGTGAGTTGGGAACAATGATTCTGATCCAAGTATTGACCAGTCAGACTCGGGACTCAGCAGGCAAACTTGGACCTGCCCCACATCCAGTTCCATGCCCAGTTCCAGGTTTTTAAACACTGATATACCCCATAAGGAATGAATATGATGTCCCTAAAACAATTTCTGCAATGGAATTGACAAAGTCGCGCACACAAGAAAAAATGTCTTTGCAAATGAACAATTCAAGCCATCCAGAATAAGCACCTCGAGTACAGTCCCTAAATCCAAATTATCCAGACCAACCCAAACTAACCTGCATGTATTCTGGTGGAATTTCTATGGAAAAAATCTAACTGGAGGTATGAGTGTCAAGATAGTGTTCCATGCACAAGGCAAAGATAATCAACAATACTATTTTAAAAAGTTGAGTGGCAGTCCCATTAATCATATAACCTAGCTATGCTACCAATATTTCAGCATCCAGCAAAGTTCTATCATTCAAGGAAGGAAGTTCACTCTTATGGTAGCTTGTTCACAGGAAATGCTTAGCTGGGCAACAATCTGAACAGAGACACAATGAACAGCCAGCAAACATAGAATGGTGAAGTATTTATAACCTGCTTGTTTGCATAAATGAGGACAATGGCACCTTTAAGCTCTTCCTCCTGTTGATGAGATAAAGTACCAATCAGGTACCTTTGCAGACAGGAACATAAAGCATGTTTAAAAGCATATAGGTCTGTCAGTAAAGAAGTACAAGCAATCTAGATCAGTGTTATCAGATTCGCTTCAGAGCCTTGTTTGATTTGGTTGGAAAAATGAAGCAATTCGGTGCTTCACTCGATTCAGAAGACTATGGAATTTTTAAAAATTTTTAGTATAAATAAAGTATTTATATATTAAAATACATTAACTCAATAGAAATGTAAAAAAATCAAAAAAAATCAAAAAATAATAATAATAATAAAAGACAATTGTGCTTCAGATAAAGTGGCCAAATCATACCAAAGTGAGCCGAAGCACAAATTTGTCTTTTTTAAAAGACAATTTTGTACTTTGTGCTTCAGCCAAAGAGGCTGAAGAGGACCAAAACAGATGCTTCGGACCTTCACTTTGCTTCGGTCTAGGTTGAAGATCCAAAGACTTTGGCCTCTTCAGCCGAAGAGAAACGAATCTGATAACATTGATCTAGATTTAGCCTTAAAATATTTGTAGACCGTACTAGCAAAATCATCAAAACAAAACAAGAGCTTCAAACATACACATCTTTTCTATAAATAATATTTCATAGGAAACATAGGCATGCACTACATGCAACTAACAGAAACAATCTTGTCATGTATTTTTCCTTCCAGGAAAGGTAATATGGGTATATGCCAGTTTAGAGTTTTGTGCACAATATTTCTCATAATTTTAGAAATGTTTGTAATCACAGTTTAGATTTTTGCACTCAATTCTTTTCATAATTTTAAAAAAGTTAGTATTTTTTAAACAACTGAGAGTTTATGATATCTAAGAGGGTAGTGCATACCACACTCAGAGATACCCCCACCATCTATTCCTGCCAGCATTTAAAATCCCAGACTACAACTCAAACTCTCTAGGGTCCCAAGCCCGAGTCAAGGTCCAACTCAGACGAGTCTCTAAAAAACAATACATTACAACCAGTGACTCAGGTCAGACTCACCCCAGGTCTTAAGGTTATTCATCCGGACCCATCACCCTCCCAGGTCCAAGTGACTTGGGTGAGGCTGATCCTGAGTTACGAATTTTTAGATAACTGATTCCCGCTGACAGTCAGTGAAGATAAACAGTAGTGGGGCACAATATCAATCTGTTTGTCACCAGCAACAGAAAGTGGATGCCCCTTGAAAGTTTAGTAGTGCTACTCCATAAGATTATGGTACATCTTCCCCTGTAACATATAGATGGTTACAGCAAAGTAAATATATGCTACATGCATACCTCCAAGATGGCATGAAATTCATCTTTGGCTATCGCTAATCTGTCAGTGTCACTCGAATCAACAACATAAATGATTGCTTGCGTGTTCGGAAAATAACATCTCCAGTATGGCCTGCAAATACAAAAATTAGCAAAAAGATATCGTGACAACAAATACACAAGAAGCAATCTGATGAACACGCTAGTAGAACTTTACCCAATATTTTCACCACTTGAATTATTAATAATCGGGAAAATATCACATGTCAGCCCATTAGCTAATGGTATGGTATAAGCCCAATGGCCCAGATTAATAATCATGATCTAATGACCATGATTGTATTTCGCATTTGAATTTTAATCCTTTTAATACAAATTCAAATCACTTGAAATTTGGAGCATCCATTCTGCTCATCAAAGCACAACTAATAAAAATATTTTAAAAAAATATTCCAAAAATTAAAATTAACCAAAATACCCCTATAACTTTTAGGGGTATTTTGGTTTATTTATTTTTTGTAAATTTTTTTAAATATTTTTTGTAATTTTTTTTAATATTTTTATTTAGGTTCACCAATTTTTCAAGAGTAGACGCTCAAAATTTCAAGTGAATTGGATTTGTAAAAAAAAAAAATTCAAATACAAAAACCAATCGAGACCATTAGATGGGCTCAGATTCAATCAGGGTATTTACTGTAGTTGTCAGCAAGCGGGCTGACCTCAGACTCTCCCTTAATAATAAGGTATGGTATAAAGAAAATAGACTTATTCAAGGATAAATTAGTTGAAAAAGGAAAATGGAACTCGGAACATGATGTCAATGTGAATGAGATGGTTGAATGTATCAAGAAGATGGCAAAAGTAGTTTTGGGAGAATCTAGAGGGAAAAGAAACTTCGATAAGGAAACTTGGGGGTGGAATGATGAGGTTCATAAGACCATTAGCGAAAAACAATCATATTATAAAACTTGGCAGTGTAATAGAAACAATCAAAACTTAGAAGAATATAAAAATACTCAAAAAAATGTTAAACAAATAGTAAGTAAAGTTAAACTTAAGGCATATGATAATCTATACAATAACTGGGAACAAGAGAAGGTGAAAAAGATATCTTCAAATTAGCGAAAATAAGAAAGAAAAAGTGTAGGGATCTAAAACATATTAAATGCATTAAGAGTGACGATCAAAGGATGACAAGGGCATCGAAATGTGGAGAGTCTATTTAAAAATTTATAAAATGACAAACACAATGGGAATATAGTGGTAGAAGGGATTGTTGATACAAGCGATGAAGGAGGTCATAAATACATTAGTAGGACTAGAATATCAGAAGTGAAAGAAACTTTGAAACGGATGAAGATAGGAAAGGCCTTAGGACCAAATGGTATCCCAATAGAGGTTTGGAAGTGCAAGGGAAATCGGTATTGACTGACTGATGAAGCTATTCAACAAGGTGTTGAGAACAAAGAAAATGGCAAACGAATGGAAGAAAATTATTGTGATACATATTTACAAGAACAAATGAGACATACAAAATTGTGCAAACTATCGAGGGGTCAAGCTTATGAGCTATAATATGAGGCTCCGGGAGAGAGTCATTGAGGACTGACTAAGGCATGAAACAAATGTATTGGAAAACCAATTTGGTTTTATGCCACGAAGGTCAACAACTGAGGCTATTTTCCTACTTAGGCAACTATTTGATAAGTTTAGGGTGAAGGGAAATGACCTCCATATGGTCTTTATTGATCTAGAAAAAGCTTTCGATAGAGTACCTTGATATTTGATTTGGTGGGAGTAGGAAAAGAAAGGCGTCTCTAGACACTAAATCAACTTGGTGAGAGATATGTACGTTGGAGCGCTAACTAGCATACGAATAACTAGTGGAAAAACAAGTGAGTTTTCAGTGACAATAGGTCCAAATCAAGGGTCAACATTGAGCATGTACCTCTTGTCTTAGTTATAGACGACTCAACTAGGCACTTATAGGATGAGGTACCATGGTGCATGTTGCTCATAGATAATATAGTTTTGATCAATGAGACCCGAAATAGCGTTAACACAAAGTTAGAACTTTGGAGAGATGCTCTAGAATCCAAAGGTTTTAAAATTATTCAGACTAAGATAGAGTATATGGAATGCAAGTTTAGTAATAGGAGTAGAGACGAGGAAGTAGTTAAGATTGAAGGCCAAGAAGTACAAAAAAGACCGCACTTTCAATATCTTAGATCGATAATTCAGGAAAATGAAGAGATTGAGGAAGATGTCGCACATAGAATTAGAGCTGGACGGGCGAAGAAGAGATGTGCAACTGGAATTTTATAGAACGCCGCATACAAATGAAGCTGAAGGGCAAGTTCTATAGGAAAGCGATAAGACCAGCTTTGCTCTATGGGGTAAAATGTTGGATCAGAAAACAATATACCCATAAAATGCCTGTAGCGAAGATGAAGATGTTGAGATGGATGAGTGGCAATACAAAAAGAGATAGAATTTGAAATGAATCTATTCGAAAGAATTTAGGCGTAGCACCAATAGGTGATAAAATGAGAGAGAGTAGACTTAGGTGGGCTGACCATGTGTGTCGTCGATAAAATACAGCACCTGTTAGGAGGTGCAAGTTAGTTCAAGCGGAAGCACCGAAAATAGTAAGGGATACGCCCCAAAAGACGTGATTGGAAGTAGTCCAAAAAGACATGGGGACGTATGACCTCACTAAGGATAGGGCCTTCAATAGAGTAGAATGGAAAACCAGGATTCATGTAGCTGACCCCAATTAACTGGAAAAATGCTAAAATGATGATGGATAGAGATAATACTAAAGACCATATTTGACATCATCATTTCAAAACATAAAACTTTTTGTAAGGGGATAGTAGTGGAAAAGAGATTATTAGGTCAGGTAGCAAAAGGGATTATTTTTAATCCATATAACTCTTTTTTAATCTAATAATTACTTGCACACCTAGGAAGAGGATCTCCCACTCGAAAGCATCTACAAAGAAAGTGAATGTAAAATGATCCAAGTCCCTGTGAGGCAGAGCTCAAAAGGATTATCTATCTAAATCAATAATGATTAATGTTGAATTGGCAAGCTTGTCTATCCTTGCATGTGATTATGTACAAGCTCATAGTAGATGGATTGGTTCTAAATTTATTTCACAGCATTTCATGATTTTTCAGTTAAATTTCCAGCCAACTCTCCCTTCAAAGGCCTATGAGAAATCTGAATTTGTATCAAAATGGGCAAACAACTAACGAATGTGCACCGTTCATTTCTAGCTCCGTTGAGGGGGTGGGTTCGGTTTTTCTCTTTTTTGGGGGGGGGGAAGGGGGTGCTTTTATCACTTCATAAGCTGCCCTTGCAAAGATAGTCCTAATCATAACATAGCATTTTGAACATCCTTGCGAGATTGAGAGAGACACTCCAATTGATACTCATTCATCGAGAATGCTGGTTTGTTATTCACCCAAAAAGTGATGGTTTGTCCTTATGGCATGACCTTCAATAGGTTGGAGAATAAAAACTCAAAGTTTGTTACTCATGCTGACCAAGCTAACTAGCTAGCGTGGTTTTCAAGTTTATTAGGGTCAAGGAAGGAGAGCCTGAAAACAAGACAGTGCACCCAGGGAAGAAGAGCTTTTTTAACTAATTGCTTAACCCGTACCCATAGGTAAGTTGCTCTCTTTATGTTCCTCCTATCTTTTATACAAAAGAGAGGTTAGCTATAAATAGATAGACTGACTAACCGAAGGGAAAGAGGGATAACAAGACTAGAAGAGGAACCAATTAAGGAATGTTAACGAGCTAGCCCCTATAAGACAAGTAAGAGCAGACCCCCTAAAGGAAGTGCTTTCCCCTCAAGACAAGAAGAGTTCTTTTAACAAACTTTTATAAAAGAAGCCTATTTCAGTCAAGAAAATTGGCTCATCCTGATTTGTAGGGCTGAGAATTTACCCGGTCTGGATCCAAAACCCGATATTCGGATCTGGGTATGGACCTAAGTTTTGGATCTGAAATTCGGATCCGGATACAAAATTTAGATCCGAACAATAAATCGGATCAGATCTACGCCCAGGTGGATCTGATCCGGATTCGACACGAATTTTAAAATAGTTATATTTTTTGTTAATTTATATATTATATAATATATAAACTCTCTCCAATGTCCAAAGTCAAAAAATTAGGGTTTCTTTAAGACCCTCTCTCATCCTCTTCACCAACACCTCATTGTGGCTCCTCAAAGTGTTAGCCACCATGGCCTTACCAAAATCTCTTTCTCTCTCTCTCTCTAAAAATGTGCCCTTTGAGACAATGGCCTTCTCCTCCAATTGTACACCCACACCTCCTCTCTTCCCCTCTTTCTCCCTCTAAAACCCCTCTCCCTTTCTCTTAACGCCCCCCCCCCCCCCCCCCCAAAAAATTTCAGAATGGTACCACGTTTCCAGACGATGCTCCTCTCAAGGAAACCAAGAAAAAGGCTTTATAGAAGGTTTCAAGCGTTTCCCCTAATCTCAGGTTGTTAAGGCCCAGGATCGTGATGAAAGAGAGAGAGGATGGAGAGGAGATTCAAATTGTCAATGACAAGAGAGAAACTACGGAAGAGGACAATGGTGGAGAGACTGCTTTGAAAGGAACTCTTTGGCTAGTGTTTTGCTTGTTGGGATTGTTGGCGGGCTTGCATTTGTGGGATATATCTATTGCAATAAGATTAATGCTTTTCTTATAGAGTTCTCAAGCTTCATTGAAGGTCATTTTTGGGCTTTTTTTCGTTCTTGTAATTGCTATTTGTTCACTAATACGTATTCAGCAGATTATTCAGACCATGTTACCCAAGGTTTCAAAAAAGGCTAGGCGGCCCCTAAGCGCCCAGCGCCTAAGTGGGCGCCAAGAACCTCGAGCACCCCATAATTTAAAAAAAATAAAAAACGCCGAGCCCGCTTGAGCGCCCTCCTAGCTTGCCTGGGCGCCTGCCCAGGTACATCCGCCCGTGTAGGGCCGCCTGAGTCTAGGCAGGCAGATTTTTTGTCCAGGCCACCTAGACGCCAGGCAGACCATTTTTTAAAACATTGATGTTACCTTAAGCAAAGAATAACTGTGGATTGGTTTTTGTGTGGAGTTCTGTTTTTTTCCTTTTTTTTTTTTGGTCTTTTTTTGGGTACACTTTGAAGACCTGTTAAAGCTACGAGTATCTCTAAAAGAAAATAAACGAACAAATAGCTTATGTTTTCCCAACAAGCAGACAGTAACATGAAATTACTGTGTGCTTTATATAAAGGCTAACGGTATGACTATGCAGACTTAAAATCGTTTGAAGTCCATAGCCTAAGGAGACCTATAAAAAGCGGTCATTGGCTCTCAGAGAAGGCATTGGCTCTCAGAGAAGGCAGGAGTTGTTTTAGGAAGTTGGAGGTTTGGAAGAAAGTGTGAATTTATAGTCTTGATTTTGAGTCTCTAGTTTAGCAGATTTTAAAGGTGTGCTCTTGTAAGTTCTCTATGAGTTTCCTGTGGAGAAGTTTGTTGTACGAGTTTGGTGCTTGTTTATCGATGTAAGACTGTAAGTTTTCTATCATTAAGTTTACAGTGTTGATATTAAATTATGTTTGTATGTATTAAAATTATTGCATTTGTGCGTTTGTAGTCTTGAGTGTGAGTCTCTAGTTTAGTAGATTTTAGAGGTGTGCTCTTGTAAGTCCTTTGCGAATTTCTTGTGGAGAAGTTTGTTGCACGAGTTTGGCACTTGTTTATCCATGTAAGACTATAAGTTTTCTATCAATAAGTTTACAATGTTGATATTAAATTATGTTTGTATGTATTAACATTATTGCATTTGTGCACTTATAGTCTTGAGTGTGTGAGTCTCTAGTTTAGTAGATTTTAAACGTGTGCTCTTGTAAGTCCTCTGTGTATCTCCTGTGGAGAAGTTTGTTGTACGAGTTTGGTGCTTGTTTATCCACGTAAGTTTTCTATCATTAAGTTTACAGTGTTGATATTATATTATGTTTGTGCATATGAACATTATTGTGTTTGTGCGTTTATGGTATCAAAGCCAAAGATCAGGGTTAATAACTATTACAATAAAGGTTAAGTTCACAATAAGACAATCCAGAGTAACACTAAGTCGCAGTGAGCCCTTAAACCCTGAAAGACCAGAGAGTCAGAATATTTAAGGGCCATTGTTTCCTGTTGACTATTACGAGACGTTATTAGTGAACGAAATTCTTATTTTAATGGCTAGCATAATTAGATCTTTGTCGCGTAGGACTAGTACTGATAATATTATGTGTGTTAATAATAGTGCAGAAATTATAATAAATAATGTAGAAAAACAAATTCAAAATTGGATTATTCCCAAGGTTCCAATATATGATGTTTTATCAAAAGAGAACTTTTGAGTTTAAAAGTGATTATTCAATTAAAACTGTTGAAAAAACAATTTCAGTTATGGGAGCTAATGACAGTTTCTAATTGTTATCTAAATTAATGATTGACGAACAAAGAAAGAAAAGGTACAATTATTTACACATAGGCCTTATACAGGTAACAATCAAACATTTAACAAGAACAGGGTTAAATAATTCTGTTTTGTTGTGTGTTAGAGATTATAGACATAAGAAATTTACACACTCCTTATTAGGAATAGTAGAATCTAGCTTATGTGAAGGACCAATTTATTTTAATTATTATCCAAATTTTTCTATAGCTCTCACAGATCCAAATATCTTAAAAGTTTAACCATTATTCTAATAGTGTTTGTTGTATTTCGGATCTCATGTATAAATTTTGAATCCGGATCCAGATCCAGATCTGGGTGGTTCTGAACCCAATCCAAAAAATTCTCAGTCCTACTGATTTGGAGTTTTGGACCTTAACAGGCTCCCAGAAAAAGGAGAAAAAAAAACACAAGACATAAAAGATAACCCAAAAGTTAGTGCAAAATTATGGTTACAACTTCCAACACCTTAAAATGAGACAAGGGTTGAGTCTCGGCTTCTTTCATCAGAACACCACAATTTCAAAATGAAGCACACCTCCACAAACATATGAACCATATACTTCTTTCGGGCCTTAGAGCACATACTTCAACTAAGACTATGCCCTTGATTTGTTGAGCCAATTATGTATACATTCTAATTCTTGAGCCGATTACAAGAAGTCAAGAACCAATTGTAGCCATTCTCTTTTATTTTCTCTTTCAGCATTTGTATGTGTTTTACATGTTTTCTATCTTGATCCTCATTAAAACTATCTTAGGTTGCAGGTGCAGAACCTGAAAAACCTTTTATTAACTAAAAACATCACAAATAGAAGATTCAAAAAACGTTTGCAAGAACCTCACACCTACACCCAACCTTTGCCATATTGCCATTAACCTTGAAGAACTTTTTGTATAGTTAGGCAAGCTAAACGGAAGACTCGTTAATGCACCTAGATGGTTAGTCCATGCCAACATTCTTTATAATAAATACTTCAAAGAATTCTCTTCTCACGTTACGGTGCCATCGTCACTTCCAAAGGAGGTGAATTTTTGTGCATATATGCTACTGGCCACACCTCGGTTCTCACACACTCGATATAGCTCATCAACATCATCATAATCTGAGCCTTATCCCAACTACTTAGAGTCGGCTACATCAAATCTTGTTTCGTATTCTGCTCTATCACGGATCATACCTTCAGTCAAACCATATATCACCATCTCTTCTCACTACTTCTATCCATGCCCTTTTGAGCCTTCTCTTTGCCCTTTTAGAGTCTGTCGCTTGACCCAAAACACCTCTCCTAACCAATGCTACTCTAGATCAATGTTGCACATGATCAGACCACCTAAGTTTATTTTCCCTTATTTTATCGCCTACTGGAGATACACCTAAATTTCCTTAGATGTATTTATTCCGAATTCTATCATTTCTTGTCTTGTCACTCATTCATCTCAACATCCTCATCTTAGCCACACTCATTCTATGGATATGTTGTTTCTCGACTGACTGCCCAACATTCTATCCTCATAAAGCATGGCTGGTCTTACCACCGTCAAATAGAACTTCCCTTTCAGTTTCATTGGTGTATAACTATCACATAAGACTCCAGAAGCATAGCTCCACTTCATCCACCCAATTCTATGCGCAACATCTTCCTCAATCTCTCTGCTCTCATGGAGTATCGACCCAAGCTATTGATAATAACCTCTTTTAGGTACTTCTTCGCCATCAATCATAACTAATTTCTCGTTTCTACTCCTATTATTACTGAACTTGCATTCTATATATTTTGTCTTCGTCCGGCTAACTTTCAAAGTTTCAACACTTTAGATTCTAGAGCATCCTTTCAAAGTTCTAAGTTTGCATTGACGGTGTCTCTAGTTTATCGATCAACGCAATGCCATCTGCAAACAACATATACAATGGTATCTCATCCCGTAGATGCCTAGTTTACTCATTTACAACTAAAGTAGAGATATATGAGCTCTAATGTAAGCCTATTGTCATTGAAAACTCACTTGTCTCTCCACTAGTTATCCTCACACTAGTTAGTGCTCCCTCATATATATCCCTCGCCATATCAATACATCCCCTAGAAACTCATTTCTTTTTCAACACCCAGCAAATTAACTCTCTAAGCACCCTAACATATGCTTTCTCTAATTTAATAAAGACCATGTGGATGTCCAACTTTAAAAATTTCAACTCGGCTTATGTTTGTTCGTTCTCTAAGCCTATTGGCAACAACTATTGTTGAGTTTATCTTATTGTTCAAGGACCTTCACGGGTTCATCGATCCATTTTACCCCATAACTAAATTAGACCAATCTTGACATATGCCTAAAAGTGTTTTTCTATGACTAAATCTATAGATTTCTGTGGATTCTTCTGTTTTTCTTTCATTTCTTGATTTTTCAGTAAATAAAAAATTAATCTCAATTTTTAATATTGGCACAATACTCCAAAGAAGGAAGCCACTTCTTAGAATTTGTTAAACGGGGACAAATGCTATCATTTATAGATGTTAACGGTCCAGTGAAAACAACAGTCGGAGCAATATAATTTAGTTTCAAAAGATTGAAGTTATGTAGCAAGGAAACTGGCATCAGTGATGCAGCTATCGCTCCAACAAGTATATAAAGACCATTTTTTGTTTGAGGTAATAAAGCATATAAAGACCATAAAAGGATTATATCAATTTTCACATAAATTGAATATTATGGAAATTATCCATGACAAGTGCAAGCTGTTATTGTAAAAATTTTAAATTAATGATAAGCAAAAGAAAATTGCCGAATTACCTGATGCTCGTCTGACCACCTGTTTCAAAGAAGCAAAGCTGCGTCAACAATGGGTAAGCAACACCCCATAAAGAATGGTACAACAAAATAAGACTTGAACATTTTACTTGAACCTTCTGTACTGTCCATTAAAAGCTTAAACCTTAAATTCTTACCAGGAATAAATGCTAACTTGAACAGTAACAATTCCTCTTTTTATATGATAACTATTTAAATAAATTAAGATCCAGATCTATTAAGATAACTATCCACTAGACAATAACAAAAATGTTTCTAACAGAAATTTAATACATGCAAATCGATTTACACACGCTGCAGAATTCTTACTATTAAACTACAGCCACCATTTAGTTGTCTAGCAAACGAAAACAAATTCATGTATACAGATTAGAAGCTAGCATGGGATCCTGTATTCAATTGATGCATTTGACTTGAAGAAACACTGAAAGCAACAGATTCATTGCCTCCACAATATGTTTACACATTTTCTCTTAAAAATCACGTTTCATTCTGACAGTACCCTAATATTTTAATATCCTCAAATCCTACCCTCTTCTCCTTAAACAAGAGTTTCAAACACTAGGGGCCCAAAGATTCTCCAAAGGAGGCCCTACAACTTGTTCTATAGGCTAGCACAACCAACTCTCAAATGACCTTGTTCTACACGTCTACGAGGCAAAGAATGCCCAGCTCAAGCCTCAAAGTTCCAACCAAGGTCCAAAAATGCCAAGAGCAGAACATGTGATTCACCAACCATAAGAAAGTTCCCAAGGAAAAGAGATGCCCAGCTAAAAAGTTTCAAGAAGCCAGATTTGGCCGCCTGGCTAGTTAGGCGTCCTGGCCACCCTAGGTGATCTACACATAAATAAGGGAAAGGGCAGGGGGGTTGTTTCTAGGCCCTTGAAGATGATATTGGGAAGGTTTTGAAGTTACTAAACCACCCTGACTGAGTGAATAGAACATTTATTTTTTATTTAAAAACAATAGTTCACTTTTTTCTGAATTTATTTTTTATTTAAAAACAATAGTTCACTGTTTTCTGAGTGTGTTATTTTATTATGCAGTTAAACTTACACATGCATGACTATGAAACTTGAAATTGTATGACTAAAACCTAATAAAGTCGAACAAATGCCTAGAATGCTTGAGTTTATTGATATCCTTTTAGGATTAACTGATTCAGTTACACAATCTTAATAAAATACCAAAAAAATCAAGTTAAAACTCACACTTCAACAATGGCCAATGATCCGAAGACAAAAATGAAAAAGAAAAAAAGAACACAAACAATAACCAAATCGAAAACAAAGCAAATCAAAACCCGACATTCATAAATATCATCAATACCCTAAACCAAGAAATTAAATACACTAACCCCTCAAACCATGTCAAACTTGGCTCCAATCAGTGATCTTTGGTTGAAGAAAAACATATTTTGCAACTAATTCAAGTCTCAAAAAGCTTCAGAGTGAATACTTTCTTATTCTTTACAAGATCAAATAGTTTCTCCTCAAATATATCTTAAAAGGGTTTTGGACAGCTAAAATGCCTTACAAAGTCGCCATCCCCACAACCCCCCCGCGGGCCACCCCCACCCCCAAGCAGCCTGGGGGTCCGCCTAGGTGGGCACCTTAGTACATTTCCAAATGGGGGGCCGCTTGGGCTTCATTAGATTCAGATTGCCCCCTAAACTGCCTAGGCGGCCAGCGGATAAATTTTTGTTATATACATATATATATATATATATATATATATGTGTGTGTGTGTGTACAACGAGAGAGAGAGAGAGAGATGCTTCTATAAACTGATAGTAGTAGATGAAGGATAGAGAGAGAATAAGATAGAGAAGCTGAAGGAAGGGGGGTGAGAGAGAGAGAGAGGCTGAAGGAATGAGAGGAGGACAACGGGGGGCGAGAGAGAGACATTATGACATTATCCATATGTTTCCACCCACTGAATCATTAACAAAAACACATGGAGGAAAGCATAGCTTTTGGTTCACCCAACTAAAAAAAGTTGAGTCAACAATGACATGCAGAGGTTGAAGTTGGTATTTTGTTTGCACAATGCTAGTCATATGTCAGATCTGCTCTCATCTATGATGCACTTGAATATGCCTAATGAGCCAATGTCATCTTATGAACAATAATACTAATAGCGGGAAAATTACTTGTGAGGATAAAATGACTTAACACAAAATAAACAAAAGGCAAGTTTAGTAATTATAGGAGTAGAAACGAGTAAGTAGTTAAGATTGATAGTCAAGAAATACCTAAAAAACATTTTTTTAATATCTACGGTCGATAATCTAGGAGAGTGGAGAGATTGAAGAAGATGTCGCACATAGAATTAAAGTTTGAGTGGGCAAAGTACAGATGTGCATCTAGAGTTTTATGTGTTTGCCGCATACTATTGAGACTGAAGGGAAAGTTCTATAGGACAGTTGTAAGACCAAACATGCTTTATAGTAGTGTTTGAAAAATCGGCGATACTAATACTATTAGACGTATAGATTAGTATTATTAGGAAATGGGTGGGCCGTCAAGACGAGGGGTATGCGCATGGCATTAAATTACATGATAAAAAAAGAAAGAAAATTATTAAAAATAATAATTGGGCGATAGGGCCAACTGTCCCTATCTTTCACCAAAAAAAATTTAAATTTACTTACCCAAAAACTAAAATAAAGATACTAATACTATTAGACTATTATCTCATGGGATTATTTCATTATATGATTAATATTAGGCTATTAGCTAATTAGGATTAAAAAAATTAGTAATAGCTCATAATATATTAAGAAAAGCAAAAAATATGAATATTAAAAAAATATTAGTTTATGGGATATTTTAAGAGAGACAAATAACACTAACTTATACCACTTAAGAATTTATTTTTAAGTTGATTTATGAATTACCCCACATCGCAAGTATGAATTTATTTATTTATTTTTTAATTTTATTAAAATATGATTGTAAATTATATGAAATAGTTGTACTAGCCCATAGGATATTCAAAAAAGTAAAAAATAATACTAATACTGGTTTATAGAACAGTAAAAAAAAATACTAGTTTACGGGATATTTTAAGAGAGAAAAATAACACTAGCTCATACCACTTTAAAATTTATTTCAAGTTGCTTTATCAATTATCCCACATTGCAAACATGAATTTCTTTATTTATTTTCTTAATTTTATTGAAATATGATTGCTAATTTATGCTACTAAATTCTATTTTTCTATCAACACTAATTATTATACATTAGATTTATTTATTTGTGAGGGTCATACCCATGTTTTTTGAATCACGTTTATTATAATATTATAATTAATAATTATATTAATTACAATTATAATCAAATCTTATATTTTATTTATTAATTTATTTACATTATAAATTATGCAATCTATTATTTTTTGTTATAGTTGTAAATTAGATTTTTAAATTAGATAATATTATAAGACAAACTTCAAATTTATTCTTATTTGTATAGTAAAATGATGATAAAATAATAAAATACAGACCAATAATTCTAATTTCAATGTATAATATTGTATTTAGTTAGGTTTTAATAAATATTTGATGAGAATCTTCATACAGGGAAAGAACATCTTAATATTCGCATATTGATGCAAAAAAATAAAAGTTATTAATATAGTACCCTCATTTCTTATTGGATTCCTAAAAAACAACATTTATAATGATTTTTAATAAAAAATTTTAAGGCTGAATTGTACCGATTCAGCCGATTCCTGATCCAAAACGCCGATTAAAGATCTGGATGGGTTTTTGAGGTGCCCGATCCGGGACACCAATCTGTTTTTTAAACCACTGCTTTATAAGAAAGAATGTTGGCTATCAGGAAACAACATATCCATAGGATGAGCATAGCTGAGATAAGGATGATACGATGGATGAGTGGCAAGACAAGAAATGATAGAATTCGGAATGAATACATATGAGGGAACTTGGTGGATTCAATAGGCGACAAGATTAGAGAAAGTAGACTTAGGTAGATTGGCCATGTATAGCATAAACCTAATACAACACTAGTTAAGAGGTGCGATTTGATTCAAGTGGAAGAGTCAAAAAAGGTACAGGGAAAGTCCAAAAGGATATAGATAGAAGTTGTGAGAAAATATATGGTGACTTTTGGTCTTATTGAGGATATGGCCCTTGATAGAGAATAATGAAGAAACATGATTCATGTAGCCAACCCCAACAATTGGGATAAGGCTTGGATAATGATAATGAGGATGAGAAAATGACATAACAATAGATCATATAATAGGAGCAACATGTAATATAATTCCATGCGACATCCTATATATACATTTACATCACAACCTATAATATATATCTATTGATGAACGAGGATAATGAATCCACATCCAAATCAGGGCATCTGGTCCCAAATTCTACAATAAATAAGAGCAGAACAAATCTCAGACAGGATCAATCCAAGTGAGGATGCCACTGAAACATGTTCTATACCATAACAATTAGGCTGCACAGTAACCATTTAGATATTTAAGACACTGTATGTGCATTTCAACTCAAATATTCACTGTTCTAGTCTAAAATCAGTTATTTTTAACGGTCAAGCTCCATGTGAGTAACTTGTGTATGTGTCAAGTTATGAAACCAAAATTTGTTGGGTTCAAGCACCACAGTCCATGATATAGAGCTATTTGAGTAAGTATATATCCCAATTAATACGAACAAACTTTCCCAGCCATCAATAAAACCTTGGTTATCAAAAAAAGAAAAGCAACAAAACCAACAAAAAAAAAAGTACTTGAATAAAATACATTTTTCCACTATACAGGGGCCCATAAATCTTGGTATGCACGACTGCAAAAGATAATAAAGAGTAGCTCATCATGCATAGATCGAAGAATGATCCGACTAAATCACAAGGAGGCGCTTACAGGGTGGCAATTGGAGGTTTACCTAGATCCCATACTTGAAACTTGATATTGTTGTACTGAACAGTCTCCACATTAAACCCAATTGCTGAATCGTAACCAAATTTATCCAACGTTAAAAAGTAAAACAACAATTAACACCCAAGGGACATCAAAACCCTAGATATCAAGCAAACCCAAAATCCCAATTAGAAGAAAGTGAACAGGGAGAGAGAAAGAGAGATTACTCACTTGGAATAGTTGAAACCACTTCCCCCATTTGAAGCCGATCTGGAAAGCTGAATTAAGCTCAACATTAAATAATTCCATAACATAGAAAGCGAATGAGAAACAAATTCCAGAGCACAAGCAAATCTAGAGAGAAAAAGGATACAGAGAATTGTGGTTTTCCCTGCATTATCAAGACCCAATACCAAAATCCTAGCTTCTTTGTTTCCAAACAGGGACGAAAACAATCTCGAGAAAAGCAAACCCATGGTTAGCACTCAGTGCATCAATAAAGAGCGGATCAAATCATGAGAATTCAGATCTGGCCGTGGGCCAGACCTTCCTGCAAAAAACCCAGGAAGAATCCAGTGTGAGAAAATGCGGAGAGAAAAAGACAAGCAGGGATCTGAGAGAGAGGGTAAAGGAGCCTGACCATTAAGGAGGAACTGGTTACGGGAGGCGACAGTCCGTATCCTAGGAGAAGCCCCTTTCTCTCTCACTCTCGTAGTCGTAGGTTAACGTCGTCAGAAGGAATTAAAAGGAATGAGCTGATTCGTCGACGGTGGGTTGAGGCTTGAGGGAGAGAGATGATGATGACTCGCTTTGGAGAGACTAGAGAGAGAATGTGACTCGCTTGCTAGAGAGAGAGGATTGCATTTTGGAAGTTCATATGTGGTGTCGCGTGCGAGCGTATTGAAAGAGAGACAGAGAGCTTGCTTGCTTGGAACAAACGCCCGCCCGCGCGAGAGAAATATTGACTGTCGTCGAGATGTAGGGAAGGGTTATTATGGAGTTTTAGAAGATGTTAGGGGCACTTCATGTTAGGAGTTAGGATAAGGTTTATGTGACTTTTTTGGACCCAGACCCGGATGCGAAAATGTAACATGAGATTCGGATCTGAACCCGGAACCGAATTTAGACCCAATTAGTGATCAGGTCTAAAATTAGGACATCCGATTCACTAGGTACAATTTTTTGACCCATACCTCGACCTGAGTCGGATCTAGTCGTCGGTCCTTGAGTGGGTCCAGGTCCATTGCTACCCTATCTAAAATTTTATTTTAGAAATATATTTTGGATTTAAAATTATGAGGAATATACAATCTCAACAAAGATGTGTAGTTACTTAAAAAATCAATAAATTTTAGAAACAAAAAATTAAAAAAATATATATATAATTTGAACGCCACTTATTTTATAATTTTGTGGGCACACATGTTATATGCGTCAGGGACGATATCGTAGAAATTCATCCCCTCGCACACAAACTACTTTTCCTTTTTTTTCTTTATGTTATTATTCTGAATTACTTTAAATGCATGAGGGGATGGTGTTAGAAGTTCATCCCCTGACACACAAATTTCTTTTCTTTTTTTCCTTTTATGTTATCATTCTGAAAATTCAGAATTTTTTTTAACATCGGGCAAATTTTCTCAAAAAACTTCTGGTAAATTAACTTGGGAGGTGAAATAGAAAGGTTTTATTCGAAGAACCCCATCTAATTTATTTTTCTTGATACTTCAATAAAGTTTGGGTAGCATTTATCCAAGTGCCAGGTACATTTGGCTTTCGTTTGTTAAAAAGTATTTTTTTTGTACCCAATTCAGCCAAACTAAACCATAGAATTATGTTTTGTTTTTCCTTCAAGAATATAATTTTTAGTACTGTTTTTCATATACCTATTTTGGCATAGGTGCAGGTTGTACAAGTTGACAATCTTACTTATAGATGTAAGATTGATGGTGTAAAACACTGTAATTTATTTCGACCTCCACTTCCACAACTTTAGGCTTTATATAAACGTTTTTCGTTTTATCATTAACATTTCCTATTCACAGGTGGAAAAAAGTTTATATACAGCCGAGGCTCTAAACAATCAAATTAGAGCCCACCTCAAAAATTTCACTAGAAGAGGTTGTTTTGATGCCCAAATATCCTCAAATTGATCATCTTGACATCAAGATGGATGGACATGAAAAAAGAAATGGACTTCAAGTTTTGGAAATAGTTCATCTTGTAATGCATTTTTTGACCGTCTATTTTCAAGTTTTCATAGATCTGCTCAATCTACACTATTTTTTAAACTTGAAATATAATTAGAGATAAAAATATATTTTAAGCTATCACAAAGATTTTCAGTAGTGAAACCACATTTCTCGACACTATTTGAAGGTGCACTTTACTTTGATTGTTCAGAACCTTGGCTCTATACAAACCACTCTTATAATAATGACCCACACATTTACTTATGTATCTATCATGTGTGGCTTAATAACTTGGTCAGCTTTTATTTTGGGATTGTATTCTATGAGATTAGATATTTTGGTGCAGAGTTGTCATAGTTATCCTTGGCGATTGGATGTGAAAGCTTATAACTTAAAGTGTCGTCATAGTTATCCTCGGCCATTAGATGTGGAAGCTGATAACTTAAAATGTGTCACATAGTCCAAAAAAATTTATTTTAGACATTGTGTCTTATCAATGAAACACCCCTAGCGACTATTTCACATCTAAGGGTTAGCCATAATGGTGAATTCCTTCTATAAAAATAAATGGTCATATTATATACATTTCCATTCGTTTTAGTTGAACTGATTCTTCAAGATAAGGTCAACCAATTCAGGCCCGATGGATACATGAGATTTTCCAAGTACTTGTGGATGTTTTCAAAGGATTATTAACCTTTTGGACGTCCATAAGTTAAGCCTTCTGGGCATTGGCTAAATAGAATGTAGGGCCTTTTTTTGGTTAGGTGCTCACTTATTATTCCTGCTTCTTTATTCTACACGGTAACTTATTGATCCGTGTTTCAAAAATTGGATTGGTGGGTCGAACAAGCTACACTTCATTTCTAAGTCGAATTGGCCAGGTCAGTGAGTCCACTGTGCGGATTTATCTAAATCTTACGATAATAAATAAAAATTAGAAAGTTTAGGAACTTCAAATCTTCCCGAAAGCGACTGTATTGGGCTTTTGGTATAAGAAGACCTTTTTAATATATTCACCAGAGGAAAAAAAAAAAAAATGTCCGAGTCCCAATTCCAAGGACTTGGATAGGATGGCAGTTTCAAGTCGAAACACGATTTTTAAACTACTGCTCTCGATTATTATGGGTCCTATAGAAAACCAAGTCAATTAACCCACTCCAAAATCAAAATACAATGGTGGAGCTGAAAAGGAACAACTTTCTTTTTTTTTATGCCTAAAGCACCAATTTTCTCCTTATTTGAGAACATATTGAGTAATCTTTTAATGTAAAAGATGCAGTTTCTACGAGGCTTAGGCTTTACGAAAACAAAGTAAAAGCCTTACCTCGAAATCCTTTTTTTTTTCACAACTATAAAGGGCGTTTGGATACCTGGAAATATAATATATTACTGGCGTAATACATTATCTGCAAATGGATTGTCACTGTTGATGCAACCTGGGAAATGCATTGTTACTGTTTGGCTATGTCCATAAGAAATAGGGAAATGCATTGTGAGCGTCCAATCCCTATTAGTATGTAGGGACCCTATTAATATATAGCTTAAACTTTATAATTGCATCAGGCATAAGAGTTAGCTACACCTTTTGTATGCTTTTGTGTCTTGACTTGAAATCACATGTTTTCAAGATGTTAACACTTTGGAATAACATACTTTTATTATAATAAGCCATCATATTTTTTAAGTTTTTTTTTTTTTATGCTAAAGCCTTCCAATTATCTCTCTCTAGAAAACTTCAATGGGAAAATTCAAAAGAAAAAAAAAAAAAAAGTTTGGAAAAATTTGGCTAGTAAGCTTTATGACTAAATGAGATGCATTGAAGGAAAAATTATGTTGGAGCATTGGAGGAGATTGAAGAGGTAAATTAATTTTAAGAAGTTCTAAAAAAAACAATTCAAGCACACTCATTTGACGATTCTCTATGAGTGAATTCAAGTATTTCAAATTTACCAGCAAACAATAGCAACAAAAAAGATGGGGCTGCTGGGTTTTATCTGTTAGTTGAAAATTGTGTTGCAAACCATATTTTATCTGCTAGTTGAAGAAGATGGGACTACTCGGTTTTAGCGGCTAGTTGACGAAGATGTTTTTAAGGTTTAAATATATATGTGATTCGGTTTGAAAAGAGAGCTATTGATTGAAGAAGATGGGCTACAACAACTGTGGTTACAGAAGATGGGGTTGCCGGGTTTTATCTGTTAGTTGAAAAACTGTGGTTGCAAACTAGGTTTTATCTGCTAGTTGAAGAAGATGGGGCTACTTGGTTTTAGCGGCTCGAAGATGTTTTTGAGGTTTAAATATATGTGTGATTCGGTTTGAAAAAGGAGCTTGATGGAAGAAGATGGGCTAGGGCTACAACTTGTTAGTTGAAGATATTTTTTTGGTGGTTTATTAAGAGGTGAACACTATTTTTGGTAGAGGGACGACCCTAAAAGATTTCCCCAATTCTTGAGGCGAGTAATAGGATTTTTTTAGGAAATCTCTCGTAATCTTTTTCTATTTCATGAGGCGAGTAATAAATTTTTTTAAGAAATCTCTAGTAATCTTTTTCTATTTCCTTACTATTACAGGCCGTTTAGGTACCAAAAAATTTATTACATGACAATCGATTGTAAGGAAATAAGAGATTTCCATCTTTTGGTACACTTTATAATCGGAAATGGAAATACATTACCCGATATTTTCCCAAAAATCATAAAACGCACCAAAAGGTGAAAAATCTATTACGAGTTTGATGGGTCATCTTTGTAAATATTTAGTGTACGTCACACCTGCCTTATTCCCATTCAATAAAATACCAACCGGTTACTCTTTCTAATAACTAGTTTGCATAAAGGGCTCCCTCTCTTTAAGCTCTTTCCTCACATTTATAGTTTTTCCTCTTTTAAGACCATTTTATCTTTAAACCCCTTTCATTTCATCTCATCTCTTTTTCCTCTTTTAAGACCATTTTATCTTTAAGCCCTCTTCATCTCATCTCAATTTTTTCTTTTTTTATTTAAGCCCCTTCTCTCATTTGGTCGATATTTTCCTTTTTTATTTAAGCCCCTTCTCTCATCTGGTCTCCCTCTCTCTTTAGAATGTGCATTCTCTTTAGCCTATCTAATCAATGAGAAATTACACAACATAATTATAATAAAAATTTCACCCCGATACTAAAAAATTTCACCCAACATAATCATCATACGAGATTACTAAACACCAAACCTTTTAGTTTACTAATCAAACTTCTTCCCATTTTTTAATTTCTACCATGAAGATTTTTAATTTGGTATCATAAATTTATTACTTATTTGAAATTATATAGATAGACATTTAAAAGACTTCTATAACAAATAAATAAAAATAAGGCTTATCACAATAAAAATATGTTATTCCAATCATATTATTCCAATGACTTATCATGTTAAAACCAAAAAACGAAGGCTTATCACAATAAAAACATGTTGTTCCAGTCATATTATTCCAATGACTTTTCATGTTGAAACCAAAGTCTAATCATGTTGAAGACATGTGATTCCATGTAAGTGCCAAAGGCATGCAAAATAAGTAAGAAATAAGCATGCAAAATAAGTAAGAAATTATGTGATGATGATTTTAGAATGGTACAAGTTATTATTAGAAAATATTTTTGGAATTGTGATAATGTTATTATTAGAAAATCTTTTTGGAATGATGTGGTGATGACTTTAATTCCGCATTTCAGTAGAATTTTGTGATAAAAAAAGAAAGAATGATGGTTTATAAGTAAGTGCTGGTAAAATATTGGTAATGCATTTCCCATATTTCTTAGAACAGTACCAATGTATTTTTTAGATTGCATCTAAATACTACCCAAACAGTAACAATTCATTTGCAGATAATGTATTACGTAGTAATATATTACGCTAATATTTCACAGACAATATATTTCCAGGCATCCAAACGGCCCCTTAAAATGTACCCAAACAATGGAAATATCATATTTATCCAAACGGCCCCTTAAAGTGTAGCCAAACAATGGGAATGTCATATTTCCGTGTAATCTATTTTCATGTCATAGATTTCCAAGTTCCCAAACAGCTCCCAAATGACCCCTAATGGTCAAAGTCGAGATAATTGATTGTCATAGATTTCCAAGTTTCCAAACAGCTCCCAAGTGACCCCTAATGGTCAAAGTCGAGATAATTGATTTGAAGGTTTTACGACGCCAAAACTACAATTTTCAATTTTGGGTGAGTTTGGAGTTGCAACTTTACTTATTTGGCTTCTACCGTATCAAAACATTTTACATTTTCCTAATGTTAATTGAACAACTATTTCATGCAGGCTAGACTGCCATCGTAGGTCCAAAGGTATAAAACATTCATTTCAAAAATGGATGCAAATAGGTGGTCCATCTAAAAAAAATTGAAACTAACAATCTAATTGCTTACTTAATATAATTATTATTTCTAATTTTCAAATTTTATTTATTATTTTCCAATGCATGATCCCATGTTAAAGATTGTATATTCTTTAAAAACTAGGATCAAATTTTATTTCAAAATTAAATTTATTAAGGGACCCGCATTCCTACATGTGCAAGCTTGGCCGCATGCTAACGGCATCCATGTAAATTTATCCTCAAAAAGTGTTTGTGGTCTCGAGAGATTTCACATAACAAAATTTAAAGATCTTTTTATGTATGAAGCTCCATTTGGCGCACTATTTTAATATTTCAAATAATTTTTAGTGTTACTAAAGTGATCCTTATAGTTGGGATAAAGCTCACGTGATGATGACGCGGATAACAACTATTTATACCCCATAGTATAACATGTTGCTAAGTTTGAGAGACGTGTAGAATGACTCCTGAAATAAGTTCTCGCACTGCAATTTTAAATTTCCATGCTATTATTCCAAAACCTGCTGGCCTACTTACAAAAATTACATACTGTCACATACAACAAGCTCCTCTTCGAGCTCCAAATCACATAACTAAAATAAAACCTCTTCCTACTCAAAACTCAAAAACTCTTATTATTCGCCAAGTTAGCGAGAGGTTTGAGTGGGTACCACACCCTAGAACAAATAATCACTCCAACAACCAAAAGCTAATTCCGAAAGGAATACACAATAACATATGCAACAGTAAGAAAAACAGAACTACGGCCCATTTGCTAGGACAAAAGTAGTACTAGGTAAAACCCAGTTTCATCCGAAAAGGGACTCGAAGATATACCCATATTCAAAATTCTTGTCTAATTGTAGGAATCATATAATATGGCAAGCCACATGAGATTTGAAGTCCATTATTGATAGGTTTGGGGGGAACCAAGAGGCTTGCAAAAAATGGCACACAGACCTGAAACAACAAAATGGAGAGAGGGAGAGAGGGAGAGCAGGGGGGGAGGCGGGGGGTGCATGAATGAGTTCTCATACATGCAAATGGGGAAGCTTTTGTATGCATGCTTTGAGCTTGATGAACACAAACTTAACAGAAGGGAAGGGTTCAAGAAAAACATGACGTAGGAGGGGGGAAAGAGAGGCTCATGAAAAACTGCATAATGAGAGAAATTGCAAAGGACACACAAAGAGAGAGAGCGAACATGAGAGAGCAGACAGCAAAGAATGGCTTGCACGCACAGAGATACTGTAAAAAATGGCCTGCATGCATGTAGAGAGAGGAGATGCTAACTAGCACAGAATGGCTTGCGCTCACCTTCATAGAATGACAAGAGACATGAGTATGGAGGGAGAGAGACGCTCATGGAGAACTGGCCTAAGGAGAAAAATTACAAAGGAACACACAAAGAGAGAGAGCATGCATTAGAGAGCAGACAGCAAAGAATGGCTTGCGCGCACACAGAGAAGACTGTAAAAAATCGCTTGTATGCATGTAGAGAGAGGAGATGCTGACTAGCAAAGAACGGCTTGCGCCAACCTTGACAGAAAGACGATGAGAGAAGAGTGATAATAAAACCAAAAAAAGGATTGTGCCCACAGAGAGAGAGAGAGATCACTCTCAAACTCCCCTCTCAACATCAGAGCTTGAGGAACACAAACTCCTCAATTGCCGGCACCTCCCCAATCAGCCTCAAAGTCTTCTTTCCCGGCTCCTCATCCACCCCAATCGCCATGATCGCCTTCTTCCCCCGAACCGTTCTCCCTACACTCATAAAATTCACATTCACATTGTCCTCCCCCAATATATTCCCCACCCTCCCAATCATCCCAGGCTGGTCAACCTGCCTACACAAGATCAGGTTCCCTTCAAGACTAACATCAACATCAAATGATCCCACACTAGTCAAGTGAGGAACACCATCCTTAACCCTCCCCTCTACACTCACTTCACCAGAGTCGGTGACAGCACTAGCAAACCGTGATCCCACACCTGAGATTTGGACCCTAATGGACCCAAGGGGCTCAGCAGGGGACCCATCGTGGACTATGCGCTCTTCGCTAATGCGAAGACCCCTTTGTTTGGCTGAGAAATCAGCATTGACGAGGTTGATGAAGGAGCTTGAGATGGGCTCGATGATGCCCTTGGTGACCATGGCACGAAGGAGGCGAGTGTCAAGGTCATCAGGGTTGCGGGAAGTAGTGTAGATTACTTTGACCTGTTTGACACCACTGCCGCCAGCAACAAGCTGGACTGCAAGGCGGCCAAGCTTCTCAGCGAGGACCACGTAGGGCGCGAGCTCTGTGAGGACCTGGATGAGATAGAATGGCAAGTGAGTTTAAGGTGTGGCATTATCTGGATGGGAGGGAGGGAGAGAGAGAGAGGAGGGGGGGCATAATTGGCATTCAGAGAATTATGGGTGAAGGTGGGAGTTGGCATGAGAGGAAAGTGGGCAACACTAAGAAAAAGAGGGAGGCAAGTGAATGCTAGAGAGAGAGAGAGAGAGAGAAGTTTAATAAAATGTCATAATCTTTATAAAGGGAGGCTTGAAGAAAAACAAAGAGAGAGGTGAGAGGGCATATGAAAAATATCATGCATAACAGGAGAAATAGACTGTTCCAGCAAACATGTTAGTCGGCTACAATATCAGGATAATCAAAATACAAACATCAAATGCATACAGCTACGAACATGCTAGTCGCTTACAACATCAGGATAATCAAAATACAAATATCAAACACATTTAAAAAGAAAGACTGTTCCAGCAAATTCGGACACAATGCTATGAATTTCCACGTCTTTGTCTTTTGGCAGTAGACAAATTCAACAAATAAAAAGAAATAATTACCGACTTGGAAATCATCGAATCACTAAAAAGGTTAACCGAATAATGTTTACAGGAAATGTAACAGCAGTTACACCAAAAAATATGGATCACTGGATAAATATGCACAATGTCCATTACATATCATTTAAATCCAAATAGCAAAGCTTTCACCTTATACTGATGACTGATGAATTGTGAAATCAAATTTCATTTTCCACACAAGAAAAAGAAAATAAACAAAACCAAGAAACAGAACGAATTAGCAAATATGTGACTCCAGGATCCAAAGATAAGAAGTTACCTCAGCAGGGACCATGGGAGCATTCACAGCAGTTGAAGCAAGCTCCCCTTTCAAAGCCCCAACAACAGCCTCTGCTATTTCAATGGCTACTCCTTCCTGAAAAAGGTTACAATCGAAATCATTTTCTTTAAGGAATGATAACATCGAGCATTCCCAAAAACTAACATGGGGGCCATACATAATTTCAAAATCACAAGAAACATAAACGAAATATAAAGGTTTCCATTCCAAAATTTCCAAATCAAAAGGAACAAAATAAAGGTGTAAAGGAGACACGCAACATCTCATAATTCAGCATTCAACGCAAAAAGCAGACCTGAGCTTCCATGGTACTTGCTCCAAGATGAGGTGTCACTGTTACCCTTTCATGTTGTATCAACTTGTTCTCCTTGGGTGGAGGCTCTTCAGTAAATACATCAAGTGCAGCCTAGCCAAGGTCAAAGCACAAATCATCAACATGAAGTCAAGTTTTCCACACAGAAAGAGAAAACATGAGTGTATACATTCAATCAGTGAAGGTTTACATTTCTATATATGTACAATCTTTCACTATGCATGTCTGTCAATTTTTAAGCGAAACTAGGAAGAGCAAGTGAACAAACTAGCCCTTCTTACATAGACAAGTAGATAGATAGGATTTGTTGACATAAGTAACTTTGGATGACCTTTGTTAACTTACAACATTTCAGAATCACCCTTTCCCTCCCTCTAATATTAATCACTTAGTATAAATTATGCCATTTGGCATGGGTGATTACAAAAAGGATGAAGTTTCTATAAAGCCTAGGGTATATGAAAACAAAGTAATGCATCACCTCGAATCCTCATCGGCATAGCATTTTGGCCATCGAAAATTTCAATGATGGCTCTAAAACAAATTTCCAACACCAACTATGAAATTTGAAGCTCAAAAAAGGGTACAGATCTTCTGGATCCATGAACACCTATTTTTAGGGTGAAATGGACGGTCTAGATAATGTGACAAAAAACACTATTTTTTGGGCTTGAAATCCCTTTTTTTTTTCACCACCACATTATGTCAAGGCCGAGATGATTGATTTAAAGGTTTTCCAATGCGAGAACTACAATTTTGCGAGTTTTGTGGTGAGGCTTTACTTAATTTGATAGGGTTGCAGGCCGATCGAACCATTTTCCTCACAAAAATATGCCTTTGGGAGGCAAAGATTTTTGGCCAGGATAACATAGCCCTACTGGACCACTAAACGTGCGATAACAAATATTTCTGCGTATACCATCGGAAAATGACAAAAACTAGCCCATCTATAAGCAATTTGTACTAGAGAGTGGGGAAGTGAATAGTTCAAAGATTTTGGAGTAGGTTAATGAAATTGACCCCTTCTAAAGTGTGCCAGAAAACACATTTAAGGACATTAGGGCAAGAAAAAAACAATGGCATGTCACTAAAAAGCACATGTCTTATATCTATACACAAGTCAAAATAAAAAGGACTGTCTATTTCACTTTTCATTCCATGAATTGGCAATATAACTATCATTTCTTGTGCAAAAATATTTTGTTGTGGTCATTGTATTACATGAACAATATTGCAATTGAATTGCCCATTTTCCAAATATAATCAATGAAGAATTTAAGAACCAATTGAAAGTGTTCTACAGTCCAAAACAGCATTTGAAAACTCAGTGACTCAGGCTCGAACTCGTTAGAGTCAATCAGACGCAGCAGGGCAAGGAGCCCAGTTCAAAAACCCTGAGACTTGCATGAGTCCCATCAGTCACGGACTATCACAGAACCAATTAATTTTTGTATTGGATTAGAAATCGAGAGGAATCGCCGATATTGTACGAGAACCCCAAATCAAGACGCAAGTTGTCCTATAGATGTTGTATCCATGCCTATTCGAAATGCGAATTATAGTGGCTGAGTCTCACCATTGACTCTCTCTCAGGATCCTAGCAAGTCTTAGCCTGGGTCCATGAATTTAATCTCTGGTCCAAACCAAACAAAGATGCTCATAATAAAAGAAACAAACAGCACAATACCTGGGCAACAATCCCATTATCAAGGGCCCTCACCAAAGCTTCTTCATCAATAACACCACCCCTTGCTACATTGATTATGCGCGCCCCCTTCTTCATCTTTCCAAAAGTCTCATCATTGAATACTTTCTTTGTGGAAGGAGTGAGAGGCATGTGAAGTGAAATAAAATCAGCAGTGGAGATGGCCTGGTCAAAGGTGACCATATCAACCGCAATAGCACGAGCACGGTCAGCAGGGGCATAAGGGTCATGTGCCACCACATGCATTCCAAGGCCTTTAGCACGCCTAGCCACTTCAGACCCCACCTTTCCAAATCCCATAACAGCCAGTGTTTTCCCGACCAAAGAGACACCAACATATTTGTTTCTTTGCCATTTTCCTAGTAAACGAGCCATAGGTCTCAGAAAAGATTGAATTTAAATAGAAGACACATAGGAATTCTGACCCTATTGTACTAGCATTCATGAATTGCATCATTCAATTATGTTGTATATAATCACCAAGAGGTTGATAAAATGCAACAACTTTAGATTCATTGATACTAATTCACAAGGAAACCAATGTTTCATGATATTAACTTGCATGGAACCCAAACGTAGCGAAAAAAAGAATTGAATGGAACCCAATGTAGCCATAGAGAATTTCCCTAGTTGATGCAATTCCTAGCATCAACTGCAAAGAAATCATCCTAATACAACGTTGGACATGATTCAATAGATATTGGATCCTTGCCACACCAAATGCTCGTATAGGAAGCCAAGGCGCATTCTCTGATAAAAGAAGATTCAAGAATTTCATGTTGCTTCTTGATGTTTTATGGGTATTCACATTATTCCAAAAAAATGCACTTTTGTGGAAAAGACAATGGCAAGGAATCTTTGAGACTGATAAATAATTCGACCTATAAAAAAGGAAGTGCAATAAAAAAATGAATGTTAAATATAAGTTAATGGCAAGCAATTACCATGTCAAGAAACCATGAAACAAAATACTAAAATGGTAGTGTTCAAAGTATTAAGCAAAGGCTTCCCTTGAGATCAGTAGTGGATAGTGGCCGTAATGGGTCAGTGTCAACAGGAATGAAATCATGCCTCCCATACCACCTAGGGGGTGTTAGATAACAGGAGTTGCAGTTTCCCTAGGAATTTGGGGAAATCTCGGACGTCTGGAAATTGGGCGAAATGGGAAATTGATGGTCAGGAATCTAGGAACCCCTGTTTGGTAACCTGTCTGGATTGCTTAGTGTTAGCTAAAAACCACCTGTTTTAATTGTTCATTACATGATTCATTGATTAGAACTTGAAATTTATCTTTCGAAGGAGATTTTTTGGTTATAACCCATCCATAGCATTACTTACAATATAGATGGTTCAGATGGTAAATTCTTTGTCCAATTAACCAATGAATCCCTGCCTCCCTCCCTTTCCCTCCCTCCTCCCTCCCTCCCTCCCTCCCTCTCTGCGGGTGGCAATAAAATAGACACTTCATAGCAACAGGATGGATGGTTCAGATCAATCATTGTTGATTCGATTATTCTGTACATTACCATATACGGACATGAAACATCAACCTTTAAGGATGTCTCTTGACTTATCAGCAAAATAACCACCCTATGATAACTATAATGGGCCTGAAAGTGCCAAAAGGATAATGATTTTATTAGGATAAATGATGTTTCACTCTTTAGTAAGTTGAGGTAGGTGTTGTTTATCTAAACCACAAAACAGTGAAAGAGTGAAATGCTCTCATCCCCATTATGATTTGAAGTTTCACTTTACCAGTGGTTGATTGAAAGCTTTGTCAATTAAACTCTGATGGTCAAAAGGACAATGAATCAGACCACTGACCACAAAGTTAATCTCTAACTGCACAGCATTAGCAAGCTTCCATGTGTGACAATTCATCCCGAGCGAAGTGAGACATACATTATTACATATTGTAGAAAAAGTGCAGCCATTTATTATTCAAATATAAAAAAAAATTAAAATAAAAAATAAAGAAAACAGAGCCATTTTTCCATCGAAAACCATAAGAAAACCTTCTCATAGGCATTAAGCACCAAACCCAAATCAGAACAAAGCAATATTAATGCTCATTAATGTAGTAATCTGAAGAATTTGTTGATACCAAGTAAAATTGCACGTTTAGCACATTTGGCCTAAATAAAAGACCAAAACCTCTTGAGTTGATCACAACTATTGAAAGTTGAAACTCGTGATTCATAGGTTGCACAATTATCTCAGTTTACTTAGTGACATACCCAACCGTTGTGTAATAAACAATTTGTATGACTGATATAAATTACTGACATAAGCATATTACTGATTAAGTGGTATTACCCACATTGACCATTACATTGTATGCTATAGTTAAATTGCATAAGAAATATTACCGATCAAATAATATTACTTATACAATAACATAATTTTGATAGACTACTTATATCATACGTAATATAAGTAATTTACTTATATCACAAGTAATATAAGTAATCTTTACCTGTAAATCCATGCTAGGTTCGTTCTGTCTCACAGGATTCCCATGCTGGGTTCATTGTATATCATTTTACAGATCTACTACTGCTTTATTTCTACTACTACTTTAGTACTTGTATATCAGTTAAATATTAATGATTTACAGTACATTAACTTGTGTTATGTCTTAATGCTTTGCTAAATTTTGTAGTGTCATATAACTAGAGCTAGTGAAAAAAATATTTAGCATTACAAGCGTAATTCCTAATTTTGTCAGACACAAAAAACTACAATTTACTGCAGGGAAAGGTTTCTATACTTCCCCTATAGCATAGAAGATCTATGCTTCCCCTACCATCCAGCCGTCCAATTTTGATCAAGATAGCCACTCACCATTTAATCTTAGATCCGACGTCTCAAAGTATTTTATTTTTATTTTTTTTAATACTAAATTGTATGAACAT